CGCGCGCGCGCGCACACACACACACACACACACACACTTTTTTGTTGTTTTGTTTTATATGTCTCATAATAATGAAGTACCATGAACTATTTTAATTCAAATAATCATACTTCTCAGCTACCAAAGACCTTATATGTATTTTCCTTTTAATCCAAGGACCTGGACCGTCTTCTGTTTTTCTTTTCTCACGTTTTTTTTAATAACACCAGAAACTACTTTGTCTTCTCAGCGATAAGAAAGCCCCCAAATAACTGGGGTACCACCTATATATCTGGTATTACCGTTGGTATATTCTACCAGTCAAGTTGAAATTTACCTAAGCAGCAAAGATATCTCCATGGTTACTCTGCCAGCACCTAGCCCTTTTGGCTTTAAACTGCGTTAGAGTGATGAAAGGTCTACAGAGCTTCTAACTAGGGTTTTTTTCAGGTTCTAAGTCCAGGTGCCCTTCCTTTTTCAGTATTTTGGAATATAACAACTGGACACTGTTTCATATATAGACTGAGATTTGGCCTTTTTCCAATCACTCTGAGATCATCTGACAATGGTTGTTGACAAAAGGACAGAACCAATCCCTGAGAAGACAACTTACTGTTGAATATATCCAGCGTCAATATTACAATGCTTTTTGGCCCACGTTGGTAAATTCTTGGGTCTCAAAGCAGAAAGGAGCTGTTAGAGGTCATCTAGTGAGTTAACTCCACTTTACAGATGAAGACAAATGAAGGAAGCAGGGCTACTTAGCTTTAAAAATTTTCGTTAGGAACTTCCATTCATTCATTCAACAAAACATTCATCGAGTCCCTACCCCATGTGGTCCTGGAGCATTAAAGTATAAACACAGTCCCAGCACTGAGGGTCTCACAGTCCATTGGAAGAGGAAGATTGACAAAAATTACCACAGCAAACAAAACCCTCTATTATTAAGGCACATTCAAAGCCCTCTGAGGCTACACCTTTGATCATGGATGAAGAGTTGACATGGGAGGCAATAGGAGTTTCAGTGTAAAGAATGAGTATTTACCAGGCAGGCTAAGGAGACAAGGCATCCCTGGCAGAGCAAATAGAAGTCAGGAAAGAGCACAGTCACTCTGGAAAAGGCTTAGTGTGTTAGCATGACGGGCACATAGGACTTTCCAGTGAGGAGTGGTGAGGGATGGCTGAGTCCCCACTGTGGGGACAGCACATATGCAAGCTGAGTCTTCAGTCAGGACCAGAGATAGGGCTCTGTGAGTTGTGAAAATACTGAAATAGTTCTAAGCTGGTTGATAAATAGACAGTGGCCCCTCCCACTGTCCTATTGCACCCCCAGATCTCCTCACACCAGTGATTCAGCAATTAAAGAGTTGACATCTAGCAGGAGGCCCTTAGCACCCCTCTAGCACTAAGGCCAGTTGGATGGGTGCTGATTGTTAAGTGGGTTGAGCATCTGTCTTCTTGTATGCCATGGTAAAGAACATGAAATTTATCCTATAGGGTAAGGGCTTGAAAATTCAGATGCCTCCAGGGGTCAGGCAGGCTACACAGAAATGCGTGAAGCAAGTGGGTATAAACAACAGGGAGAGGTGAGGACTGTAGTCAACTGAGGCATTAAAATTAATTTTTTAAAAACTCTGCATCAACAAATATAAATGAATGTTTGCCAGTGCTCAGATTTTGCAGTATAAGAAATAGGAAGCCATGATGGTTTTTTTGTTTTTTCTTTTTAAACTAGGAGAGTGATGTAAGATTTACTTTTTAGAAAATTTGCCATGAGGGTTTGATGAACCGAGATTACAGAAGACGTGGAGACCATGAGACTGAGAGCATAGTCAGTTACTAAAGCTCAAAGATTGGACAAGAAAATGCTGGCTTAAATTCAAAGATTTTGGGTTGCGTGTGAAAACAAAATTTTCTCTGTATAATAAAACAATAGAAAGGATTATTGAATTATTAAGGAAGATACACCATTTCTGTTTTAAAAAGTTTCAAGTACCTAGGGGCTGGCCCGGTGGCACAAGCAGTTAAGTGCGCATGCTCCGCTGCAGCCCGAGGTTCGCAGGTTTGGATCCCGGGCGCGCAACGACGCACCGCTTGTCAAGCCATGCTGTGGCGGTGTCCCATATAAAGTGGAGGAAGATGGGCACGGATGTTAGCCCAGGGCCAGTCTTCCTCAGCAAAAAGAGGAGGATGGGCATGGATGTTAGCTCAGGGCTGGTCTTCCTCACAAAAAAAAAAAAAAAGTTTTAAGTACCTAAAGGACAGTAGTAGATGCTAAACCCAATGATTTGTCAGGGAACTTTCTAGGTCTGTGGTGCCCTGAGCATATTAACCTAAGCAAAATATTTGTGGAGAAAAAAACAAACAAAAACCTGTGAGTGGTGAAATGGAGTGGAACAAATGTGGAAAGAACTCTTTAATGTTACCAAGCAGGGGCTTTGTGTAGTGACATTAAGAGCTTTTCAACAATTCTGAGTAGGTTTTATCCATCAACTTAACAAATTTGAGTACATACTGTATGCTGGACACTGATGTAAGCACTATTTTAAATGGCATTTGTTAATTCATTTGTTGAGAATTTAACATGTGCTCAGCACACTTCTAGGCACTGGGGATAAACTAGAGAACAAAACACACAATCCCTGCCCTCCATGGAAATTTCTTTCTAGGGGAGGAGACGGCAGTAAACCTGGTTCAAGTTCAGGTTATGGTGAGCAAACCCAGAGGATGGATTGAGGTGGGGAAGACTAGAGACTGAAACTGACCACGTGTGGAATATCTGAGGAAATTAGAGTGTGAGGAAGGATGATCACTTGACAAAACATAATGGAAGAAAGAATTCATAGACCCCAAACTAGCAGAACTTGGAACGGAAGGAGTGGAAGGGGGGAGTATTTTTTTTTTTCTGAAATGTAGTTTTGTTTTTTTTTTTTCCCCCAAAGCCCCAGTAGATAGTTGTATGTCATAGCTGCACATCCTTCTAGTTGCTACATGTGGGACGTGTTCTCAGCATGGCCGGAGAAGCGGTGGGTCGGTGCACGCCAGGGATCCGAACCCGGGCCGCCAGCAGCGGAGTGCACGCGCTTAACCGCTAAGCCACGGGGCCAGCCCAAGGGGGGAGTGTTGAAGAGAGAAATACACAGCCCCTAGAATGTTGTGAGTCCAGTACTAAACGCCTGTTGTAGCAAATGGGATGTGCTAGGTTTTGATGAGCTGAATCTGAGATTTTGGTGAGATGCCCATGTGTATTACTTCCTTAGATCAGCATTTCTCAAACTTTGGTGGGTGTCAGAATCACCCCGAGAACTTGACAAAAATACAAAGGTCCAGGGCCTATTCCTTCAACCTGCCTGGGCCTCTGTGTTCTTTATTAGCTCATCAGGGGATCCTGACACAGCCGAGTTTGAGAACCACTGGCTTAATAATGAGAGATGCAAGTCTGGAAAGAGGGATTGAGCTAAGGGCTGGAGATGTATATTTTGGAATTAAAAATAAAAGTGTTAATTGAGACTTATAGATGGATCAGCTCTCCCAGCTGATGAGCATAAAGGGGGAGGAGGAGCAACCACAGGACAATGAGTGGTTGCATATATGTAGTTTGTGGGAAGACAAGGAAGAGCCTGAAAGACAGACACATGAATTATTCAGGATAAGGTGAAAGTGCAGAGAGCTCAGTTTCCCTTTAACTGGAATGTGGGCTCCATGGGGACAGAGACCTCAGGGTTATCTTACACCTGGCATTTTGCCCAGCACTTAATCAATATTTGTTTCTTGAATGAATCAATGCATGCATGAATGGCTGTCACAAAACCTAGAGAGAGATTTTTAGGAGAATGTAGGCAGTCATATCAAATGCAGAAGCCTGGGGTCAAGTGGGCTGAACCGTAAGGGACTGCTGGTAGATTTGGTCGGAAGGAAGCTATTGCTATAAAAGAGATGGAGTAAAGTGCAGGTAGTGAATTTAGGCTCTGCTGTCATTTATAACATTCATCCTGAGCTGTTGATGAGCAATGTAAAGGCAGTAAGATACATATACACACACATAATACACATACGTATGCCTACGTATACATAGTATATGTTTGTATGCATATATATATGTAAAAGTATAGATATTGAGTTCCAAAGTCTTCATCATGCCCTGTTGCTTGGTTGATGGCCTGTAGTTGCCTCCTTCAGGTTTGAATCTTGTGGGAAGAAGTTCTCTCAGAAGTCTCACAGGTTGTCGGGGGGCTGACTTTGGCAGGTTGGAACATAGACAAGGGAAACAACGTGCTAGGGACATGTCTCCAGGAAGCTGCATAATCCACTTGCCACCCTCAGTTTTTCACTGGTTGTTTGCTTCCCAAGAATAGATATAATTTCTAGAAATTGCATAAAGATATAAGAGCCTATTTTAAGATTTGTTAAAAGCTTTTTAATTCCAGGAGCCCATTTCCTTTGAAAGGATAAATCTGCGTGTCATGAAGCAGAGATGCTTATTAGCCTGCTCTCTGGGATCTGCAGGTTCGTAGATGAAGCATCCAACCTTTCTTGTATTTTGAAATGTCATGTCCAAGTGCCTCTTAATGAAGATTCATTTATCCTTTTCACACTATTAAGTATGGTCTATGGGGGATAGACTTCTCTCAGTCCATGTGAATAGAGCCCATTACTGCTAATGGAAATTTTGCACATGCCTGTGGAATTGAATAGGCATTGAAATACATTTAGACTTTCACAGTCATTTTTATTTAGTTGCCTTAAGATTTCAATGATGATCTCTTTTTGTCTCCAAATCCTGTTTGGCATTGATTGTAGGTATCTGGTGATGAGTCTGAAGTTGTAACTTTAACAGGTATAAGTATTTCTTTCCTCTGTTTCAGCTGAGAAGTTTTGAGAGTGAAATATTGACAGCCATTAAGAGACCTCCAATTTAATTTCTCATCCTGCTTATTCTGTAGTTCACGTTAAGTCCAGAGTGCTGAAGGAACTGAACAAGTGGACTTGTAGACATCAAATAGCTGGCCATGGTGTTGGCCATGGCGTCTCAGGAAGTTCAGAACTTCTTCCAGCCTCTCTCTTCCTGGATATCTCGGGTTTATGAAGCTCTCCAGCAAGCAGGAGATACACTATCTGCTTCGCTGGTTAACTTGAGCAAACAAGACTCTAAATTGAGTGACAAGCTAGACCAGGACTTAGATGATATTCAGATTCAGGAAACTTACTTTGAAGATGAAGAACAAGGCAATGATTGGAGTCAAGAAGATGCAAATTCTTTGTTTCTTGAAGTGGATCATTTTTCCTGTTGTAATAGTGATTTGCAGGACTCTCCCCAAAGTGCAAGCCCCAGACTTAGCCGACATGCAAATGCAAAGGACTCATGTTCCATAATGTCCCAGTGGCCCAATCAGACCCTTGATGACCAAAAGCCACCACATGTGCTTTCTTCTATTGCTGAGGAAGAACATCACCTTGAAAAGCAAAGGAGTGGCCTTCAACACAGCTTTGACAGCCAGCTCTCTGGTGTTTTAGAAAATGTTAATGGACAAAAGCAAGGTAAGCTAGCCAATGATCATTTTCTCTGGGTTCTCCCAAAGGACATTTCTACTCATTTTACTTTGACTTGTCTTAGTTATCATATGAATTTTATTTTTCTCTTTCTTATACTTTCTACATACTGACTTCTTATTGAGAGATGTAATCCTTAGAAATATTTTCAATATATAAAACTTTGGAAGATCTGTTTGTGGGCTCCATAATCCAACGCAATAGTTCTGAGCAAATGAAATGGTGAAAATGAGTCTGTGAGTTGTGTTGAGAAGCCCCTCTGCATATGTTGTGCTTTTTAAAACGTCTTTAAAAATATTCTCCTTTTTTTACTAGGTTAGGAATCTCTAGATGTTACTATATTATTCAGTGTGAAATCCTGTGCAAAAAGCCGTACTTGTTGCAAAGTTTTTAGTTGATAACACTCCAAGAACACTTCTCACAGTGTGTCGCCGAGATGTGATGTGAAATGACAGTAGATAGGAAATCTTTGGAATAAGAATAGCTTGATTTTCTTTTAGCTTTGAATGGAAAGGACACGTTTAAAACAAACTGCCTATGGAGCTTTATCCTGTCAAAGCTGAGCATTTAATGGACCTTCAATAAATGTATAATGAATATGGTGAAAATATGATTAACTCTGTAAAAGGAGCTATAGTATGTTCTGGCATGAATTTCTCATGCTTTAATACTGTAAGCCTGACATAAGGACGTTTCTCATGGTCGAGGGAGAGAGGTACATGATATGCAAAGAAAGGAGTTGGTATGTATATGTGATGTGTTGTAACGCATACATAGGTCACACAGATTATTGGGTCTTTTACGTGATGTAAAGGTGAAGTCATTAATTCTCTTCTTGTTGGAGGGAGCAGACTTTTCTGAAATACCTCATAGTCTCTTCATCCATTTTCCGTGATTCCTCTTAGCTTTATATTTTTAGGGAAATGTTTTATCCAGTTACATGAAGTCTTGGTAAATGAGGATACATAATTTCATATTGTTTTCATAATGCTTTCTTGATACTCTTACTCAAAGTAATAGTGAAATGCTAGAATAAATCGGTGAAGACAAGATAGGCTGATATTCTTTCTGAAGCTGATAAACTATAAATAAATGAAATTTTAAGTCTTTTAAAATTATCTGTAGAGATAATTCTAGAAATATCTAGGTTACCAATAGGATTTCTTAGATTTGACTTGAAATTTCTATTTTAGAAAATTCTTGCTAAAGTTAACTTTATTTAAAATTATTAACATGATTTTGGCCTAATAGTTTCTTAACACTGGCTTTTGTTAATTTTTGTAATTGTAATAATCTAATGGCAGTAAAACAATTGTTTTTATTTGTCCATTCAGGAGATGTTTATTCACTAGATTGCAGCCTCCTGGAAGGCAGGGGCCGTGCCACAGACTCATTTCTGCATCCTTAACTGTATCAAGCACAATATTGTGTATATAATAGGATATCAAATAATGATTAATGATGGAACACCAACAAGGAAAGCTAACAACTCTAAGAAGTAAATACTATTATTATTCTCACTTCACAGTTGAGAAAATTGATGCTTAGAGAGTTTGAGAATATACCCAAGATCCACATTTAGAAAAAGGCAGAGCTCAGGCAGTCTGATTCTAGAATTTATACATATTCTCTCTCTCTTTTTTCCTTTTTAAAGATATAATTTACATACAGTAAAATCCATCCTTCTTAGTGCACAGTGAGTTTTGACAAACACACACAGTCTTGTAACCACCACCACCATCAAGATACAAAACAGTCCATCACCTCAAAAATTCCACCAAGTCCCTTTGCAGTCAGTCCTTTCCCCTACCTCCAGCTCCTGGCAGTTGCTGATATAGTTTCTGTCTTGATCATTTTGTCTTTTCCAGAATGTCATATAAATGGAATCATGCAGGCTTCTGAGTCTGGCTTCTTTCATGATGCGCTTATCATAATGTGTTTGAGGTTCATCCATGTTGTTGTGTGTTTCAGTAGTTTGACCTTTTTATTGCTGAATAGTATTCCATTGCATGAATGCACCATAGTTTGTTGATTATTCATCAACTAAGGGATATTTGGATTGTTTCTAGTTTTTAACAATATGAATAAAACTGTTATAAGCATTTGCAAAACAGGTTTTTGTGTGAATATGTTTTCATTTCAATTAGGTAAATACCTAGGAGTGGGATTGCTGGATCATGTGGAAAGTATGTGTTTAACTTTATAAAAAATATTCCACTGTTTTCCAAAGTACCATTTTGCATTTCCAAAAGTAATGTATGAGATTTCTAGTCATTCATATTCTCACCAACACTTGGTGGTCTTGTTCATATTAAGAAAATTGTTTTAGCCGTTCTCATGTGTAGTGATAGCTCACGTTGGGAGATAATTCTCTATTGGTCTCGGTTTTTTGCATGTCCTCTGAACAGAGCCACAAACAGCCTTTTGTTTTAGGTTATCTTTTCAAGGATGTTTGTGTGACAGTGAGCCTTGGAGGATAGAGATATTGTCTCTTTCCAGAGCAGAGGAAAGATTTGTTTGCTGTCTAATAAAGATAATGTCTCTCTTTAGGGCAAAGCTCAGGCGGATTTGCTTGCAAATGACAGAGATTTTTCAAGCTTAGTCTTCCTTGGCTATGACATAAACCCGCTGCATGCACGATATCTATCTGAGCCTGCCTCTGCATTGCCCCTGTGGTACCTGGAGGGTGGAGAACCTATGTGAATGTGAAGCTCATGTTGCTTGCTGTGCTGTGAGTAATAAACTGTCCTTTGTCTCTGACCCAGAAGTCTTGTGTCTTCTACCCAAGGTCCATAAAACTGTAGCAGGCTAACTAGTTAGGGGGCAAGTAGGGTAAAATCTCAGATCCTTCATAGGTATTAACATCTCATTTTGGCTTTAATTTGCATTTCCTTGATAACTAATGACATTGAGCTTGTAGTTATTTGTCATCTGAATAGCTTCTTTGGTAAAGTCTTCAAACCTTTTACCCACTTTTATTGAATTATTTTCTTATTTTTGAGATTTGAGAGTTATGCTTATATTCTGAATATGAGTTACTTTTCAGGTATATGATTTACAAATATTTTCTCCCAGTTTTGTGGCTTGTCTTTTCATTCTCTTAACAATGTCCCTCAAAGAACAGAGATTCTTAATTAGATGAAATCCAACTTATCAAGTTTTTCTTTCATGAATTGTGCTTTTGGTATCATGTCTAAGAGATCTTGTATAACCAAGAATCACAAAGATTTTTTTCTGTTTTATTCTAGGAATTTTAGAGTTACGGTTTTACATTTAGGGCTATGATCCATTTTGAAGTAATTTTTTATATGATGTGTGGTATGGATTGAAGTTTCTCTCCCCACCCTCCCCCATATAGATGTCTAGTCATTCCTACACCATTTGTTGAAATGACTATCCTTTCTGCATTGTATGCTTTGGCATCTTTGTCAGAAATCTATTATCTGTATATATGTGGGTCTATTTTTGGACTCTTTATATTTTCCCATTAATCTATATTTGTATTCTTTCTCCAATAGCACACTGTCTTGATTACTAAAGCTTTATAATGTCTTGAAGTCAGGTAGTGTGAGCCCTCCAACTTTATTATTTTTAAAAAATTGTTTGACTATTCTAGTTAATTTGCTTTTCCATATCATTTTTAGAATAATCTTATTAATTTTTACAGAAATTCTGCTGCGAATTTGATTGGAATTGTATTGAATGCGTAGATCAGTTTGGAGAGATTGGCATGCTAATAATATTTTGTTTTTCAATCCATGAACATGGTATCATTTCATTTATTTATTTCTTAGAAATTTTTAATCTGTTTTGTAGTTTCCAGTATATAGGTCTCATACATATTTTGTTAGATTTATACCTAAGTATTTCCTTTTTCTTTGATACTATTGTAAACAGTAGTTTTATCACTTTCATTTTCCAATTGCTACTTGCTAGTATGTAGAAATACGATTGATTTTTTGTATAATAACCTTGTGTTATGCAACCTCCCTAATTTCTCTGATTAGTTCTAATAGGTTTTCTTTGTAACTTTTTTGGGATTTTCTACATAAACAGTAATATTATCAGTGAGAGAAATGACAGTTTTATTTCTTTCTCTCCGATATCCATGTCTAGTATTTCTTTTTCTTGACTGATTACACATTATCGTGTTGAATAAGAGTGTTGAAAGTAGATATCTTTGCCTTGTTCCTTGAACTTAGTGGAAAAGCTTTGTCTTTCACTGTTCGTTAGTAGTTAGGTATATGTTTCTGTAGATACTCTTTATTATATTGAAGAAGTTCCCTTCTATTCCACTTTGCTGAGAGTTTTTATCAAAAAGGATGTTGAATTCTGTCAAATGCTGTTTTGCATCTGTTGAGATGATCATATGATTTTTCTTGTTTAGTCTGAATTACACTGAAATGAATTATACTGACTAATTTTTGAGTGTTGAACCAGTCTTGCATATCTGGGATAAAATCCACTTGGTCATGATATACTATTTCTTTTCATATATTGCTGGATTTGATGTGCTAGTATTTTGGAGGATTTTTTTTCATCCATTTTCATTAGGGTTATTCATCTGTAGTTTTCTTGCAATATCTTTGTCTGGTTTTGGTATCTGGGTAATGCTGGCCTCATAAAATGAGCTGTGAAATGTTTTTCCTTTCCTATAATCTGGACAAAGTTGTGTTAAATTAGTATTATTTATTTCTTAAATGTTTACTAGAATTTTCCAGTGAAGACAACTGAGCTTAGAATTTTTTTTTGTGGGAAGATTTTGAAAGACAAATTCAATTTCTTTAGTATGTATAGGATTATTCAAGTTCTGTCTTTTTCTTGAGTGGTTTTTGGCAGTGGTGTTTTTCAAGAATTTTTTTCATTTCATGTATGTTGTTAAATTTATGGACATAGTATTTCCTTGCTATCTTTTTAGTGTTTGTAGGGTTTATGATGATCTCCATCTTTATTTCCTGCTATTGGTAATTTATGTCTTCTTTTTTTTT